AGTTTGAAGTCTACATATTTTAAGGGGAATTCAAGGTAGGTGAATGCCGTTCCTGTTTTGCTGTTGTCCCTAATTTCCTGTTGCCAAACATGCCTGGCAGGGAACAAATAGTCCTAAACCACTGAGCAAGAAGCGGAGGAAAGGCACGGCGCGTGCTGACCACGGCACCGAGCGGCGTGGTGGAGGGCAGGGAAGGGGCACTGAACAAGCGGCGTGACGGTATGCAGGGTGATGAAGGGGCCGATGATGCACTCTTCTGGCCCCCCCACCACCAGCATCTTACCCCAGTCTTGCCGTGAGCCCCCCACACCTCCCTCCTGCAGCCAAAAAGAAGAGGGTCCCAACTAAGGGGTCCCTGCTAAACCCATCATTCCATGAAAAACTGTTGCAAACCCCGTCTCCTGAGGCAGCTCTTTCTACCTGTGTTGATGTTATGCCATTTCATTGCACTTCGTGGCTTATAAATTAACTTCCACCCACCCCTGGGAACACCTAGCCACTCCCTTTGTCTCACCTGTCCCAGCCGTTTAGAGCAGTGATGGGATGCTAGAAATAGAGACGCACACACTGAGAGCTGGAGGAGCCCGTAGACGAAAGGAACGTTGGAGTCGATTTGCAAAGGAGATACTCTCTGGCTCGCAGCCGTGAGGCAGCATGAAAGTCCCCGGGTCTGCTTCAAGGTAAGGGGAGAAGGAGGTGAATGCTATGGGTACGGAATTAAAACACGGTTTGTAGAAAGGTCTGGGTCAGGTAATCCCTGTAAACTGTTGATAACCTGTAGAGTTAGTTACAGTTTGTTCCAGGGTAGAGATTAATTTTGCCGTGGATGTTTCTTTACAGTATTCCAGGTCTTTTAATTTGAAAGAACCTCGTTAGGTTGACACACAGGTCGCTCTTACTCCTTAAAAATGCCCACCCTGGGAAGCTGCCGTGGTTTTTGCAAGCCCGACAGAAGCTGGGTGGCCACAACGGCGTAGACGTCGCGTGGCTGCAGGCTGCTTTTGTCTTCAGGATGGTGTCACGAGGAGTGGGGTGAGCTCTGCACGGCCCCTTGGGGCTCGCTGGTGGCACCTTTATGGCTTCAGGTGCCCAGATAATCTGCTCTCTTATCCCTACCTGCGTCTCCAAAAACCAGCTGTTGTTTTGGGCTTTCAAAGCGTGTCCAGACAAAACTGGTCCTCTGGGAGCATCTAGCTAGGCTGGAGATGCGGCATGGGTTTGAAGGTTTGGAGGCAGGACGGCACTATGTAAATGACTATTAAAATATTGTGGGATGCCTGGAGGTGAGAAGCTGTAGAGGTCTGCAGAGCCTGTCTTGTAGTAGAAGGATTACCAGTCCTTCTGGAGCATGATGTGATCCTGATCTGCCTTCAGGATGGGTTTGGCTGTATGCTGGTGTGTATGCCCCATAAAACATTGATCCGAGTTCCCATTTTTGGGGACACCACCCAAACAAACGTATTTGCATGCACTAAACTCTGTAGAAAAGGTGCAGAAGAAGGATGATGCTGGACCAGCTTAGGAAGGACCTCTGGGCAGGCAAGGTGACGTTTTGGAAAACCATCACACTGACATCAGCTTCAGTTTAAATGAAAGACCAAGAAAATAGGGAGGGGCAGCATGTGATGGACGTGAGCTGCCTGTGAGACACTCTGCACTCCTTTGTCTCATCTCTGCTGACATACATCGAGTGACCAAAGGAAAGGCTGCCTTGCTCACTTGGGAGAGCGGGGACCGCACGTGTGACCATCCCATGCTGGAAATGGGACTAGATCTTCTCAAAACAACTTCAAGCCCAAGCCAGATCGGCTGTGTTTTGGAAATGGCAGCTGAAAATATGGAATTCACACCGGATCAGAAAAGCTCGTAAGATCAGAGAGGTCAGATCAAGCTTGGGGATGAGAAGTTCCTTTTTGGTGGGCATCAGACCTTCAAAAGACCCTACACGTGTCCCAGCTAGAGTGCCCAGGTGATGGTACATGGTGGTTGCCCAATTAGTGCTGGAAAAGCCTCACCCCCCCCATCGTTATCCAGGCAGAGCAGGGCTGGATGAGGTGCTTGGTCCAAGGGGCTGCCTCTGAGCTCCGGCGGTTTAAACTCTGAAAGAAGATGTGATGGAAGGGAGACCTGGGGGATGGCGAGCTGTTGTGGTAGAGAAGTGGTCCTCTTGTTTGAAAACAGGGTGTAATTAGTCCTTTACAGGTGCTGTTGGGCTATTAACCAGTTTTCTGTATTGAAGATTCTCAGTTATATTGAAAAAAAATTAGTGTTTCTTTGATATCCCTGTCCTCTGCTGGGATGTAGTCACAGGAGCTGCTCAGATTTCTTACCGAGGCAATCGTCATACCCCCACAAAGGGCTCATTTTCTAGTGAGTAAAGCGGGAGTTTGAATAGTGAACAAAGCCCCAGAAAACCGAAAGAAAAGCCAACTAGAAGGCAGCAGAGCAGAGCAGGCGGCTGAAAAAAATAGCAGGTGCTGCCTGAGATAGGCTGTGTCTTGCCAAAGGCCAGAATTAGGAGAGTGGAAGGGAAAGTGCAATTTCTCCCTGTCCTGCCTCTAACGCCAGTGCTAGCTGGCACCACGGAGACAGAAAATTGTGCTCCTGGTAATAAAAATTCCCAAGGGCAATATGCAAAGCTGAAAATCCACTGAAACTCTGCTTTCTTTCTAGGCAGGTCAAATGTATCATCATTTTCAACCTTTGCCTGGGACTCATCTTCCTATTGGGATTCTTCCATGCATACGTGTAAGTGAAGCAGAAGCAAGCTTGCATGACTTTGTCTGCCCATGATTTAACTCTCATGGGTTTTAGGCTCACATTGGAAGGGCAGCAGCCCAAAATTAGGTCATAGGTCCACATTTGGGCAGGCAAGGGATCAAATCAGCCAAAGTGCAGCTCTCTGGGGCAAAATCAGCTGCACTGAAAAATGCAGAAAGGAGCGAGCTGAAGCCTTTGGGTGTGTAAGGACCTGGAGAAGCAGAAAACTGTCTGACATCTGTGGCTGAGGGATGGGGCTTGTTTGGGTTGTGGGTGTGGTATCGGGAGGAGAACCTGCTGGGATTTGGCTTTGCCGGGTCTCAGAGATGGGGTATGGCATTTTCCCCATCTGCTGCCTTCCTGCAGAACCTCGAAGAGCCAGCAGGAGCTGCCGATACCTCCCCTGCCTTGCCGCGCCAGGACTAATGTCATGTTCCTCAAGACCCACAAGACGGCCAGCAGCACCATCCTGAACGTCATGTTCAGGTTTGCAGAGAGGTACAACCTCACTGTCGCCCTCCCAGCTGGCCAGCTCTTCCACCTGGGCTACCCAGAGACCTTCCTGACCAGCTTCGTGGAGGAATTTCAAGCCATAGGGCAAAAAAACTACAACATCATGTGCAACCACCTGCGGTTTAAATCCTCAGAGGTAAGAAAGAGCCACGAGACCTGTGGAGGAACCTGGTTGAACAAGCAGTGCCTCTGGCTAACAGCCTCTCTTCTTCCTCCCTGCAAATAGGTGCAAAAGGTGATGCCAGCAGACACCTTCTACTTCTCCATCCTGAGGAACCCCATTCCTCTGATGGAGTCTTCCTATGTCTACTACAAGGACGCTGTCCCTGCCTTCAGGATCTCCAAGGATGTGAATGAGTTCCTGGCATCACCCATGAAGTATTACCGTCAGGTGGATTATAAGTGGAACATCTACGCCAGGAATATCATGTGGTTTGACTTTGGCTATGATAACAATGCCAAGGACAGCAAAAGTTACATCCAGAAGGTCTTGAAGGAGATTGAGCAGAACTTCCACCTGATCTTGATAGCAGACTACTTTGATGAGTCCATGATCCTCTTGAAGCATGTGTTGTGCTGGGATCTGGATGATGTGATTTACTTTAAGCTCAATTCCAGAAGCCAGGACACTGTCCAGACCTTGACTTCGGAAAGCAGGGAGCAGATCAAAGTGTGGTGCTCGCTGGACTGGGAGCTCTACCTGCACTTCAACCAGACCTTCTGGAGGACGATTGAGGAGACCATAGGACTTGAGGACCTGGAGAAGGAGGTGAATCACCTGCGAACGAGACAGGAGGAGCTCATGGAGACCTGTCTCTCGGACCGGGAGGCGGTGGGGAAGGATCACATCAAGAACAAAGCTCTCCTGCCTTTCCAGTCAGGGGCTGCAAATATACTGGGATACAACCTCAAACAAGACTTGGACAACAGGACTCTGAGAACCTGCCAGAGAATGGTTATACCAGAGCTCCAGTACATGTCCTATCTGTACACTGTTCAACACCCACACAAGAAGAGGAAGCAGATAGGCTTGCCCTTGCCGTGGATCAGTTTCCAAGAGCAGACGCAGCCCCCAACTCCCAACTAGGGCCCGTGATGACCTGCTGTGGTTCCCCACTGCTTTGCATCACCCCATGTCGGGTGCGTGGCTGGCCCACGGGACTCTTGCACACAAGTGGGAGGTGGCGGGGGCTTTGTTTGGGGCCACCGGGCTGCTGATGGGTCCCTTTTTGGGGCCCTTGAGCCAAGGGCTCTGTGTTGGCTGGATCCTGTGTGATCCCTGCTCCCAGGCAGAGGTTCAGCCTCCTGCTGCTGCTGCTGAGTGCTGGGCAGGCTTTCAGCTGGCTTAGACCTTCCTGCCTCTTAATCATTAATCACAGGCTTAATAATTTTGTTTGCATTCAGCTTATTTAATAGCTGTCATGTCCAGGCTCGTCACAGCTCACTAGAGCAAGTTGTGATTTTTGGTGTTTAGGGGAAAAAAGGGGATGGGGAGGGAAATGAGGAGTAGAGTGTGATGAGGGGATGCAGCACTTGAAGGAGCAGGAGAGATGCTGGGTCTCCTGTCCAGCAGTATCGGTACTTGGTGATGTCTAACCCCTGTGTGACTTTCCGGTTGGGAGTCCCGAGCGTCGTTCCCAACGCTGGGCACACTGGCTGGCAGCCCTTCCCCGCCCGCACATGAGATGTCATGAGGTGTGGGAGGCCTCTGCACCACTTGGGACTGCTCGGTGCTCCCCTGGAGGGGCCCGTTTGTGGTTCCACCCCTGTCTCTTGGGCAAGGGTCCCTGGTCCCTGGGCACAGGTGGTCCCTTGGGCTCTGTTGGCCAAACTCTCCAACACCGATCAGGAGAGGGGCAGAGGGAGCCACGTCTGCTGCTCGTTTAGGGCAAGACCTTGTTATTAAAGGAGGTAATTAAACCTGCCTGGGAAGTCTTTGCTCATTTGTCAGCTCCCTGCTGCTGTGCCGGTGCTGGGAAGGGTCGTCAGAAGGACAGCAGGGCCAAGCCCAGCAGCTCTGGCGTCACTGCTGTTAATGATTGCCCGTCGCTGCTTTCCAACGTGCCTGCCATCCCCTGTGCCGCAATATTCCAGCGCTTCGCCGGCGTCTCCCTGCTCACACCGGTCGGGGAGCGGGCGGCAGGACGGGGATGGCGGATCTGGGGTCGCTTGGTTTGCAAGTCTGGGGCTGAAGCAGCCTGGCAGCATCTCAGCCTGGGGAGCCGAGAGGTGCTTGCTGTCAGTGGGGAGCAGAGCTGGGATTCTCCTCAGCTGTGTTCAACCCCGGCAGCAAGCCAAGGAGGCTCTGAGGCAAGGGTTCACCTCCTGCAGTGACACCGGCACTCCTCGGCAACCCAGCAGGAGCACTGTGGAGATTAGCAGCACTGCTCTGGTTTTCTGCTCCAGCAACCCTAGAGAAAATTAACCAGGCTTAGGAGGCGTTTGTGGCTACCGCGGGGGGGTGGCGGAGACGGCAGCCGCTCGCTTTGAGCCTGGGCAATCCCTGGGGCCAATTCTGCAGCCAGAGCCTGGGCTTGCTCCTCGGACCTTCTGATCCATCACTTGCCATGTGAATTTTGTCAAGCCCCTTTAGCTAAGCTGACGTTGGGGATGGAATATAAGTATTGAAATAATTTCTTAAATAACAGCTGACCTGTGTGTGGGTAGGGGTCCTGGGAAGGCTGGGACCCTCCAGACCACAGCCCCCAGGCTG